CATTGGCAACAAGGGAATTCACTTTCCTTTGTTATTACCAACACTACATTAAGCCATACTCAATAAAATTATAGAGTCTCACAAAATTTCAACTCAAAAATTCAGGTAGTTTATATAGCTTAATCTCAACTGTTTTCAATAATTCTGAGAAAAGGAAAAGACCAGACAAGGGAACGTTGACTAATTCCCATAAAATAGTTTCAGATGAAAGAATGAAAGTATGATTTGGTCAAGACTAATTGATCAGAATAACATGAATAGCGCCATCTATAGTTGTTTAAGAGATACGTTTACAAATGAGAGCAAAAGCCCATACAGCATGTTTTTTCTCCAGTATGGCACCGCAATAGAGGCGCCACTTATCTTTCCTGTGTTCATTGCGATCCATCAATCTAGAAATCACAATACCAGTATAAAATATAATAAACTGAGTATCGGGGAAATACGTGAATAGCAAAATGCACTAATTATGCCGTTTTGACACACAGAATGCTCCCAAAATCAGACAAAGAGATGCTTGAAATTTGCTTACAATGAGAGCTAATTTTGTTTCAAATCTAGATGAAACATGCCCTGAGGTGGATATAAACTCCATAGCTATCAAAAATATTTAAAAAAATTGAGTACAAAAAGGGATTTATTAGTCAAAGACAGGTGCAAAATAGATTCAAAAAAAAATCAGAACTGCTTGATACTAACTGAGAACACAAGAACATAATCTTTCTAAAATAATTTGTTTTATATCATTTTTCTTAATCTATCTCAAAAAAATTATCATAATCTGTTTTATTTTCACATTTAAGGTAATGTCATTCTTGAAGACAACATTTTGAGATAGTTACTGTTTTAGATTCTCAATGAAATTTCATATTTTGTGATTTGTACCTACTTTGAGATTCACTAAATTTGTCTCTAAATTTGTTTAAATTTACAGTATGTTTTTTACGAATTGAGTAATTCTATTAGTTTCATGTCTACTGCATTTATTCTCCCATCACCACCAACCCATTCCTACCCATACCACAAAGTTGTCAAAATTTCTAGAATTCCCTGAAATGTGGGTGTGGAATTATAGGTATGTTGGGCAGTAATGAGGATATGTGTGTCCGAAGTATCCACCCTCGGTATCATTAGCAACAAGAACTATAATACTGTATCAGAAATGTGTCTCCAATAGAGGCAATTGTGAGACAAAATCTTTCAGAAGAAGTACTCCCAACCTACAGTGATGTATAGGCACTTTTTAACAGGTCATTTTAAGTGAGGCGGTCGTTACCTGCACATGCACAGGAATTGAGTTCCAAACGATGATAACAACATTGACATGCTATATGCCCATCTGTCGCATGCGTAGGTGACGACTCCCCCGCTTTAACATGTAACATTTAACAGGTACATGGCAAAGAAAGGAAAGAAACCTGCAAAGACTTGTGGGTAATGGAGGTTACCAAATGTTATAGCTGATGAAAGTATATTCTTTGGATTTGGATCAGAATGAATGGTGTTATACATGTTTATTTTTATAAATTTGTTATGTGAAAACTGGAACAAACATGTAGCAACGTTTGGTGCATAACAATCACCAAGCACAATGCTGAAAATATATACATCAAAATATATCAAAACAGTATTCTGGTAGAACCATTGTTTCATTGATCACATAGTAAAAATGGCATGATTCGATCAAGGGGTTCTATAAATGGCCTGACAACATTTCAAAAACAAAATGGCTGCTAGTCAGCCATTTTTTTATCAAATCAAATAATAATCCACATTGAATTTCCATCAAATAGGTTAATAAAGTATGTCTTAGACAACTGGAGAGTAGCAAAATCGAATAACAATATTTGAATAAGGGTTTATTTTCCTGTTGAATTCCTCAGTCACCTGTCTATGTCACACATATGTTGAGTTGAGTAATATCACAAAAATTACACAAAGCAGCATTTGTAGATTATACGAGTAACCATTCAAGGTAAATTATCTTGCATGAGTGATCTATTTCACTGTGAACTTTCATGATTTAAATGTCACAACTAGTGTGCCCTTTTAAGCTGATATGATGCGTAACTGACGCACAAAGATTTACTGTGACGCAATTAGTTACACTGCTAATTCCATGGCATGTCATTAACACAAACAGAAAATCGTACATTGGTATTAATAATGATCTTAAATAACATCTTACTACTGTAAAAAGATTAATTATTCACTGGGTTTTAATTTATCTTATTTCGCTGACTGGAAAATGCGCTAAATTAAAACCCAGTGAATATGTAAAATTTAGCATAGAACACATTATCTAAATGACAAAACCATGAATTTGAAACCCACTGAATATGCCTGAAATGGTAAATCAGCAAAATTTAAACCCAGTGAAAATTAGTCATTTTACAGTATAGGATTTGTAATTTTTTTGAATGAAATTAACATTGTACAAACAAAATTAGCGTGAATACGAAGGAAATCGGAGGCCACAATATTTTTGTTTGTGCCTTTAGTCACCTATACAGTCACATACAATTTTATTTTTTCTTGAAGACAAACCTTCCCAGCAGTCAACAAACTTAACTTAACAGACTTAACTTGATTTGGGGGGATTCCATTTTGTCTCAAGATTCCTACAAAATCAGATGAGTTAAGATGGCACATTGGTCATTACCCAAACCTCTTATATTGTTAAAAATAGGATTATACCAGAAATGGGTCTTTGAAATTCTAGACATATTACAAAGTTTTTCAACTTCTATATCATTAATTGCCTAGTGAGTTTGTTCATTGAAATAATAATAATAAAGACAAGATGCCATTTTAAGATGAATCTAGAGATATCTATGTCAAGAACCAAAATTTAAATGAAACAGATCCAGTCATCAATGATAATGTTTGTGAACACATACAGTCAATACAATTCAATCGTTATACTATAATTTTTTTAAATTGTTCGTCGTGATAAGTAGTTTTAAATTTTGGGGAAAAAATTTTGTTTTGAAATATGGACATCAATTGTATAAAATTTTGTCTATTTCCAATTCAAAATGGCCACCAAAGTAGAGACACTGTTTCTATGGAAACAAGTTCAGGTATTCCTGATTTTGTTATTCTTACTTATTCTGATTTATTTAATAGATCCTTTCACTCAGCAAAATATCAATATTGTGTAGTTTTTTTATGAGTCAGCCAAGTCCATTACTAAAAATAATAAAATCTTTAGCAATTAAATTTCCTCACTGTTAAAATCAGTGATTACACAAACACCTATTCTAAGTCAAGTCTCCTAGCAACGAAGCTCTTCTGTGACCAAAAAATGATATATTGGGTGTAAGCAATATTGTTCACAACCTATATACTCCACAATAACAACTGTTTTGGTTCATCGTTTTAAGAATATATCTAATCCCTTAAAAACATCCTTTTTTATTGGCAGACGACTTACTTAGGGCTGCTATGAATGGAGGACTTATTAAAGTTTAATGCATAACATTTCTATCAATATGGATGATGCATCTATTGAAACTACCTTCATTTCATGAGAGAAAAATTTGTGTCAATCATTAAATTTTGTTGCAATGAACACTTCAGAGTTATTTTCACAAAGTTACGTCAACACATATTCACCCTTTATATTTACAGAATTCGCTGTAAAATACAGCTCCCTTCAGCACCACAAACACAGACATGACAGTATCTAAAGCATCCTAAGTCTATCTAATACTTAATACAACTTCAATCAACCGATATATTATGGCTCAGTATTGCAAACGTTGATAAACAATTATTATAACTGAAATTTCACATTTTAGTTTTGTGATGCCGACCATATATGCTATTTTTTTTCTGCACTATATGTCTAAAAACATTACAGTATAAATTTCTACTTTGATAACTATTCAAAAGCATAACTTCCTCCGTGTTCATGTAAGTGATTACACTATGACTTGTGAACTTTAGAGTTGACATATTTGATGTTCAACAATCTGTACTTTGTTTTGCTAAAAAGTGCTTGTTACCATACAGGGAAGACAAAAATAGCCAAGAAAATACATCATTAAATTCAAAATTTATTGTCTTCTCTGTTGAATGTTTCCCATAATACATTGCACAAAACATTTGAAAGTCGCACACATACATAATAATGACATACTGGAAAAATTAATAATAAAATATAATAACTTCAAATTTGCACCCATATATAACAATGATACTATCCAAATGTTTACCCCAACAGAGGTGGACATACAGTTTTAGCGATTAACTCCACCTCTGTTGGGGTAAACATTTGTATTATTATACTGAACAAATCTTTAAAAAAATTGTGGTACTCAATCATGATAATCTTCCAGGTCACGCTCGTGGAGCTGAATGCATGTATGAACACAAATATAAAGGTTGAAAAAGTTCAAGAGCATTGATTGAATTCTACTGCCTTTTTACTTTCATGGTTGTATTGATAAACCTAATTTTGGCAGCTTCAGCAGGACGAAGAATTGATTTTTACAAACATATACGGCACCATTCTGTGCGCAGCTATACGCTACACTGCGATCCAGTTCGCAATAGAACACTGAAATGAGCTGCACACAGAGCTGCACATTGCTTCAGTATAGATTATGTCAACACCATTCTCTTTCAACAAATACACTGTACACAATACGGTATGTAATATACAGTCAAAACTCACAAAATACGTAACAAAACGGTGCCTTCACAAGGCAAAGTCCACGACTCTCAGATTGTTTAGGTAGACAAACTGCTATCACAGACCAAATGTCTTAAAGCACGTAGCTGAGCGCACTGGCGAAACGCATGGCGAGCGCGACTAAAAATCACACAAAATCGGGTAAATTCAGGATAAAGGTACCCGAATGTAGGTAGATATACGAATATGGCAGCAGGTCAACACAGGATTATGTCTACCTACAATGTACAAATCTGATTGGCTGTCATGGTCATGAGGTATAATAAAGTGAATTGGCTGAAGTCAGCTGAATTGAGCTTACCTTGCGTTTCTAGTGCTCGTACCCGTTCTTCACTTTTATTCGCTCGCTCTTCCAACAATTCATTTTCTTCAGCTGCTATATTCATTTTTTCTTGTAAACTCTCCATGTTTTTAACATCAACAGACGTGTGTAACTGTTCTTCAAGATCCCGCACCTGAACAGACAACATTATCAACAAGAGAATTCAGATACTGGGCAACAAAAATGGTGATACTAGATAGGAAATGATGAAATGCAATAAATACAGACATGACAGTATTTAAAGCATCGTACACTAACTAATATTTAGTAATAATGCAATCAGCCGGTGATTATATTACGTTCAGTACTGCATAAAGTGCAATGTATGATGGCTGCCAGTCGGCCATTTTGAATCGAATCACTAAAACACTGCATGTGCATATGTTCCACATAAAGTACTAGGCATATGCAAAGAATGAACTGAATTGGCCCAAAGAATTCTGAAATATGACTCCAGACAGACAGACGGACGAACACACGAAGACTGAATTATAAGTCCCCAACTTCATATGAACAGGGACTTAAAATATGGAGGTTAATTTGTGAAAGATGACAAAAGTTAACTTTAAAGTCCAACGAGTATAGGAATTATATACACATTTATGCAATTATTTTGAGTACAATATAAAGAAGATGATAATGCAGAAAAACTTTACTCGTAATGCCAGTAATTTTTTTGGGGGATTAAAAACAAATTGTACCTTTTCATTACATTCTTGTTTTACTTTCTCTAGTTCTGCTGTCAGCTGTTCAACAGTTTCTAATGACTCTCTCAATCTGTCCTCATTGTCTACGGACAACAACAAAATAGAACTCTGTCTCTTCATGGCTGTGCTCTCTTGTTCTTTCTATTAAAAGGAAAAACAAATATTTAAATTTTTATAACTCAATATTTCACAGGGTACTGTATAATCTCTACATAGAATGCTGCTACAGTGTTTTTGTCTGTTAAAGTTGCAATCCCAATTTGGGTTTTGGGACAATTATATACATATACATGCTAGCTAAAAGAAATCTTGTTAACGCCTCACTTATAGCAAGTCTCAGAAGGTAATTGGG